GTCCAGCCATATTAATTACTACCCAGGCCAATTAATTAAGGCCAGCAACCTTAAGATGACCTCCACAATGATGTCTGTCATCCCAAATCTTCCAGATTATCTTTTCTGACAGCTAATATGTGGACGGATAGACGAGATGTATCAAAAGTACAGGTTGACTTAATTTGTTCAGTGGATAATTATACTATTAAAGTTCAGCACACTTTAATAAATCATCAAACATCTGTTCTAAATAATATTTGAAGACAATTTCTATGCAGGTGGAGTAGGAAAATAAGTTTAACAATAATGAAGAATTCAAGCTGTGTATATTTCAAGTGTATCATATATTGCCTGTTCTTATCTATTAGTCTTAAAAAACCCCAATATTCTAACAGACTATTGGAAAAGAAGTCTTCTGGCCAATATGTGAAGAAGAAAACCTGGGAATGCAAGCCATGGCTGTATTCATTATATGCTCCTTTAATTTATACTCATATTTCACATCCAAACAGCTGCCAGACTTAATCTGTGATACCTGTAATTCTGACCATCACCTTTGCACCAATGCACTTTATATATTTTTATCCTAACTAATCAATATGAAGCCACATTCTGTGCATAAGCAGCATAAATATTAAGCCAATATTCTTAAATATGACAAATTTTTGACACTTACCTGAGGCGTCTAAGTTAGGAGCCTAGTCATCTCAGACTCCTTCTACAGCCAATGAAGAGACACGGGCAACTTCAAAGAGCAATTCAGATCTTAGTTCATCTGAACCAAACTCTGAAGGTGCCCCTTTTCTCTGTAAACTGTCTAGGAAGACTACTTTGACTAAGTTTTCCTCAGATGCTTCAGCTATGTCCCTAATGATACCTGGGCCTTAGTCCACACCATGTCTGAAGACTGACAGAGGTTTTAGTGAAAAATCTAATTAATATGTTTGCTTTTTCACTACTTTCTTCAATTTCACCTAATATTATTGACCTAACAAAGATTAAATATTGAACAAGTATTAACATTTCAAGAGTAACACAGGAGCCAAAGCCTGATTTTAAAATATGACTTTAAAAAAAAAAAATCATAATTAACCTGTTGCCTTTTTGTGAGACTGAAGTAATCTTTGAAAATAAGACTGAAGCTATATCTGCACAAAACCCTACAGCTAGCTCAGAAACGGATGGAAGAACGGTCAGCCGGGATGGTACAAGGCACACTAGTAGCTCTTGCAAGATATCAGGAACATTAACACAAAAGCACCAGGCTAACATAGTTATTCCACTACTTTACACCTAAAATACCTAATCTGTCATTCGAGTATCTTTTCATAACACAGATTTAAGACGTGCAGAACAAGTTTTAGGATGCAAAAGCTTCCAAGAAACTTTTAAAAGCGTGCTTAAGTTCACATTAGAGAGCTTTCCCCAGAATTAATTTTCCTTCAAACAAACAAACAAAAAAAGAAGCTATCCCATATGCAGGCAATTGTTTGGTAGGAAAACTACAGCTCTTGTGATTTCTGAGATGCTCTGTGCTAAATAAATTTGTGTACAGAAGTTACCAGCAAGTGCTTTCATTTTCATAATGGCACAAGATGCAGCCATGATGTCTTAAATCAGTATGTAAGTCAATCCCTTGAGGAGCCCTGAAAATTTTGGGAAAGACACTATAACTTCTGCTAACCTTTATATCCAGAAATTAAGTAGGGTAAGTTTAAAAAAAATCCAGAAGGCAAGAAAGAGGACAGACAGAGAGACCTGCAGAAATAAATAAAATAATCATCAGCAAAGGAATCTGAAGGAAACACCTTCTTTGAGGTTTCAAAATAAACTGATAGTGAATCTTCTGTGTATCAATGGCAAGAACAGCCTTTTCTATTTTGAGAGTTTCACAAACTTCACATTTGGAGCAGCAAAAAAATCAGGAAAGATCTGAATGAGCTGATTTAAATTGTCAAGAGTATAGAAAACACTAATGTTCAGAGGAGTGTTTTCCTCCTCAGCACAGATGAAGGTAAATGCACTAAGAAAGCGATGCTTGGCAAGCGTGGTACGTAAGCCCGTAGTAGCAAAATCCTTCATCAAACCTGTTTCTTAAACTCACAGCAACAGCTAAGCTGCTTGCGGTGAGATCTCTGCGCCAGAACCAGCACTACTCTGTTGGTGCAATTAAGCTGGTTTGAGTGAAAAAGAGTTGAATTATTTAAAATATTATTATTAATAATCTACACTTAATATATTATTAGTTTTTTCCACATAACATTTCATCTATATAGTTTGACTTAAAAAGCTTCAAGCAATGAACTATAGGTTAGTAAGAAGTCGCTGTGTTATTCAAATAATGTTACCATGTAAGAAATAAAATCTATTTTCCTTCGTTTAATAATTACTGTCCCAACAAATATTTTTAAATCAACACTTCGTATTCATCAGTTTTTCATTCCTCATCAAGTTATTAAAAGCTTCTGTTGTACACTGCCCTTTCTCCCTATATGCCTCTTCAGAACTTTTTGAATTTGTTGAAAAAGAAAAATTCTGTATATTTTTCTAAGACAAATTCCATTTCCTCTCCCTTTGATAGGTTTTAAAACTAAGGGAAATAATAATAATAATACATTTATTTAATTATAATTCAGTAATAAAAATTAATAAATTGTTTTTAAACATTTTATGTGCTTAAGGTTCATTTCTCATTACTTTCTTACTTAAAATGAAAATAAAGAATTAACTGATCACAGAATATTGGTAGGGTAACAATACTCTCCATTATTTTGCACACTGAGAAAAAAAGAAAAACATTTGTACAAAGTACAAAACAATGTAAAGGAAGGATCATTCCTTTCCCCCACTACTAAATAATATCACAATGCCACAAGTTAAAATAACTAAATAATGATGTATGTATGTAAATACAGATACAATCTGGAAGAATGATCTAGACAGGATGAGTGTCTATTTTCATTATTTCTTCTGTATTCTTCCTCCTTGCCATTTGAAGTCACACGAAAAATACAGTATTTGAAGAGTAATGAACAAACATCTCCTTACACAAATTCCAGTACATGCATATACCTATCCAGCATATGCAGATAAAACTAAGTTATTTCCTCAATTAGCTTAATTTACCTTAAAGTGCTTCAATACTATACACATGCTAGGAAATATTCTCAAATTATTTTCTTTTGGTTTTGATTTATACTTTTTAATAATGCATCTTTACAATTACTTGATAGGAATTCTCAGTGCTGACATACAGCACAGCCATTCAAATTACATTCTTTCAATTTAACTACTCTTACAGCCATGATTTGACAATTAACACATTTGAGAGGACCGAGGGTTAGATTTGAAAGTACTGGATACGGACCTATCAAAAAAAACTTACCATGCATCACTGATAGACTTGGTTTAGATTCTTCAAGATGTTCTACAGTAGTGTTGACTAAAATAGCATATAAGTAAAAAAAATAATGTAAATGTATTATAACAATAACAGACATATACAGATTTTTAAATGTTGCTATATTTAATCATATCTATAAATTACATAATTTTTTGCTTTAATGGGGAAAAAATTAAGCAAACCATTTACAAAGTAAAAATGGTCTTTCACAACATAAAAGCACGTCTCTATATATGCTTAACTTTTTTAATACTTCTAGAAATCAGGAAAAGAAACTAGGAACTAAATCATCATTGAACTGGAACGTGATGCAATGTCTATAAATATTTGAAGTGCAGGGGCCAAATGGATGGGGCCGGGCTCTTTTTGGTGGTGCCCAGTGACAGGACAAGAGGCAAAAACTGGAACACCACAAGTTCCAGACAAACTTAAGGACAAACTTATTTACTCTAAGGGTGACGGAGCACTGGAATAAACTGACCAGAGAGGTTGTGGAGTCTCCATCTCTGCAGATGTTCAAAACCCACCTGGACGCTTTCCTGTGCAACCTGCTGTAGGGAACCTGCTTTGGCAGGGGGGTTGGACTAGAGGATCTCCTTGAGGTCCCTTCCAGCCCCTACCATTCTGTGATTCTGTGATTATCCCTGTAAGCTGATTTTGTGTCCCAGGGAAGGAGCCTTGGCCTGAAGCTATTTAGTCAAGTCTAGCCTGATCAAGGCTTATATTCCCCAAACAGGATGGGCTGAATCCACGCTTCGTACCAATTAGCACAAACCCTATCTATATTATGTACAGAGTAGCCGTGGAGTGAATTATCACTTCAGTTCTACATACCTCACATCATCTTAGGGCCTAGGAGCAAATCTGCTCATGTACCATGGTCTGACACTTGTCTGTGCTTCAGTATGGTTGAATATGACAAGCTCCAGTTGAGAAGCCAGAGAGCCACACTATTACTGTGCTCTCCTCAGACTAACCTACTCCTTGCTGTTAGATTCAGTTCAAGCCAATGACCTGCTAATTAAGCAAGATGGTTTCCAAACTGGGATTGCAATTAATCCAGCTACCACCATCTATTGCAATAAACCTACTTCAAGTCACTGTACCATCTACTATACTGGTGTTTGTGGTGGTGGACTGCATCCCAAAACACTATTATCAGGTTTAGCTATTTGTAATGGACTTCAGATGTTAAGGCATCGCACAAAAATACCAGAGTTCTTTAAATTCTTTGAACATCTGTGTCGTGACTGCTAAATTAATCAATTTTGTCTACTCTTGCAGTATTTTCCCTTTTATGAGTGCTGCAGGCTGACAGTCAAGCATGAAAAAAATAATTAAAATTACACTTCATAAAGCAAAGCCAGAAGTTGTTTACATAATACAAAATAGAGCTGCTATATTTCACATCTCTTCACCACTGAAGTGATCGGCTTTACACATTACAAGTCCTTACAGCTGCAAAACATGAACTTTGAAAATCAATGTAGAGTCATGGAAACAATATTACAGGCAGGTACCATGTGAAACACAAATAAATTGCCAGTACTGATTTGATTTCAATACATAGCTAGTAAAGCTGATATCTATATTTTTAATTAATTGTAACATTTGTTTAAACCAAGCTGCTGATATCAGAAACAAAATCTGCTTTTTCTGACAGATTGCACTTACTATCATATGGTTTGACGCTTGCAACTGATCTTGTGGACAATTCTTTTATCTAAAGACAAAAATTAATAGTTACAAATGTAAATTTTCAATATTTAGAAATGCATGTTTAGTACAAAATTCTTAGTTTCAGTACTATTCCATAACAGAAATTATTGTTGATGATTTGGGGAGAAAAATACTACTTTTGCAGAACTCTATTTTACTGCCTGATGTATATTTCATTCATGCTTAATGAATGTTGAAGACTTATTTCTGTTTGTTGCCTTATGTGAACTCATGCTTTGTACACCCTGTTATTACAAGCTATAAAGTTAAATGAGAGTGGGCTTATGGGCCACTCCAGCACTTACAGTTTCAATACTTTCTGCTTCAGCAATTCATGTTCAACCCTGCAAGTCTAGCTCCACTCCAGGGAAACACTTAATTACACATTGATTTTAAATGTATGAACAGTTCTCCTGTGTGCTCGACAGTTTTGTCTATTTGACACCCAAGACATGCACTGAATAAAACTGAGAGGAAACAAGCTATCTTTAATCTGATCTAAAGAAAACAGGAAACTTGTGAATCCAGTATCACTGAAACAGCGTCCTACATTCCAATTCCCAAAATGGAAGCTAAGCCCAAACCACACAGACACATCGTCAATGTCAGCTGGAGCTGGCACAAGATACTGAACCCTGCTCCTTTTTTATTTATCAGTTTGGATATAACCAGTAGTGCCTCAATTCACTGTTCATTCAGTTTGGCTTCTACCAACCTGTTAGCTACTTCTCAAGCATTTCCAGTTTCCAGGTGCTGAGAAGGTAGCTCTTCACAACTGCATTTCACAAACAAACCTGGATCCCTCCAAACCTATTTTACATCTGTGGTCATACTGTTTTGTTTTAAAAGGTCACTTTATTGCAATTAATTTGTCTCTGATTAAGTCCTCCTCTGTTGCTCCAGCTATCAAATTTAAGATGGAGATGTAAAAACTACTATTTGCCCTTTCAGATCTTTAAACACTTAGGCATAGGTTTAACATTAATCTCAAAAAAAGTGTGTAGAATTAGATGTTGCTTTGTAAAGAACTCATAATCCAACAGAGGAATAGACTGGAAGAACCACATAATCACGTCACAGTCTAAACTCCAGACCAACAAAGAAAATGGATCTCCACTCAATGATCACCTCAAAAAAATATATACTTATGTTAAACAAAAGTGTATTTTTAAGAAAAAAACCTATTCATTTCTAAACAAATAATTTCATTAATTTTAATTCTCACAATTATAAATACATTATTCCATTTCTGGTGTGAGAAGTCATGTATTTTCAGATTTCAAACACTAGATCTCATTATAATTATTTTGTGGCAGATTAAATCCTGTTCACTAGCAGAAATTTTTCATCTGTAGAGGTCTCTGGTGACTGTGTCCTAGTAATCTTTTAACTTTGTGTTGAACTTATTAAAAACATTTGATTTATTAATCCTTTCCTGCTAAATCATTCTTTAATTCCTGGTTTACATTCCTGTGTCTCTTTTCCAGATCTATTCTTATTTATCAACATAATTTCCAAAGTGTAACTAAAATACTCCAGCAAGACTTTTACCAATTGGGAATATTAACTATGATATCAAAGACTAAATGCTAGTAAAATTTTTCTCTATGTCCCATGCTCTCTGAAACACAGAGTGCTTCACAAAACAGACCTGCTTCTTCTGAGTAATAATCAGATCATTCTGCTCCTGAAGCCTCTGCCCCAATTCTTCTATCCTCCTCTTGTAAAAGGTGTTATTTTTATTCAAGTCTTCTCTCACTGATGATTTAAGCTTCTCAATCTGTGACAGGAGCTAGAAAACAATCAGAAGAAAAGTAACTTCATATTAATATCTTATATAATATTTTAATGCTGTAAAGTTTAAATAGGAAGTGTCATGCTTAAATATTTTTAACACTTCTTATTCAGCAAAAAATTAATGTCTCCTGTGATTTCACTGGGACTTGCATATATTACAAAACAGTTGACTGGATCACTTTTTATTTACACAAGGAAGACTACCTAAACCTCAATATGAAGAAAGGGACATACAAACACATTGCTGAGATTGCCTAAAAATAAGATAGCAGCAAAAAACATAGGACTCCATAAAAACATTTTGGTTATAAATAGTGTCAAATAATGATATCTTAAGGAGATGAGATGAGAATTTGCATGACAAACCTAATATATTAGGTCTGAATGTAGAAGAAAGGGAACAATATTTTAGGTGCACCATCCCAAAAGTAATACTTACATTACTCCTCCCTTATTCTATTCTTGCATTGTATGTGGGTGTATCATTAACTACATCCTTTTTGGGGCATGTTCCATGGTGCCTCCTCACTGCTTTCTTGCCAGAGGAGGAGAAGCATTGGTCAGACCACTATGATCTGCTCAGTTCTTACATGTTCACGCAGATGAAAGGAAAATGAAAGGAAAAGAAGCAAGTGAAACAAAGCAGGAAAGAGATTAAAAGAAACGCAGACATAAAAAAAAAAATCTGAGGAATAAAGCTTTGCATAGTAAAATATATAAACTGATGCAAAATAAAATGTCATGGTGTTTTTTACTGGAAAGGCTGAACAGATTCTGAGTTAGAAAGCTACAACAGAAAAAGCAGCATAAAGTGATAGAACAGAGAAAAAAAGATTGAGTCATATGCTATGTGTCCATGGTAGCAGCAGATACAGAGTACATGAAAGCTACATGTTGGCAAGTTGTATCTCACGTAATACAGTTCTCACAGAATTAGTTGTGAGCTCTTCAAAACAGAGATACAGTTTCAAATGTCTGTCAGATTCTTAAAGATAAATTCCATTTCAACTCTGGTCTTAACTGAAACTTCAAGATAGAATCATAGAATCATAGAATGGTTTGGATTGGAAGGGACCTTAAAGATCATCTAGTTCCAACCCCCCTGCCATCAGCAGGGACACCTTCCACTAGATCAGGTTGCCCAAAGCCTCATCCAGCCTGGCCTTAAAGATCCTAGCCTGGCCTTAAAGATCCTAGCATAACAGAAATACAAAGATAAAAAATACATCTAATAGGACACACTCTTATAAGCTCTTGAGATCTAGGCTTTCTAATCCAACAGACGTATGATAGTGCACCAAGAACTACTGCAAGAGTAAGAAAAAAGCCTCCTTCTAGTTTAAGTGGTTTGCTGTGCCACTTACCAGGGACTTTTCTGTCTCATGGTCATGATGAAGGGCTTTTATTCTAGATGTCCATTTACTTTCCTGTATAGAAAAATCAAAATTAATTTTTGTTAATAACACATTAACATTTAGTTTGACATATGTAGGTTTATTTCTTGTCAATAACACATTATTAACATTTAGTTAGATACATGCAGCTTTGTTTTTTATAAAGCATAAATATCAGAAAGATTACTGATGATATGAAACTTGAGTAACCCCATATTTAAGACCTAGAACAGTCATCAGCTTTATACATCTGAGTGCGGTTTTCTTACCAGTCACTCGAGAAACTATGTCTTTTCTCCTTGATTTGCATATATAGTGACTGTGACTGAGAAATACGTAAGTATTTTGATACATCTCTGTGTATTAACAATAGCAGTCATAAATGCAGGGTTTTTTTTCCCCAGAATAATGCCATTTCAAGAACTCATTAACAATGTATTTTGTGTAATGATGATAAAAAATAGTATTAACATATGAGTTTGAGAGTGGACCGAAGTTTGATGAAAGAAAAATCAAAGTAAAGTTCACTAAGTTTTCTGTATCTTTGAGCAGAAGTGACCAAACTCCTGGATAATACCAGCATTCTACAAAGACCTTCACATCCCAAGAACCATGAAATAGATAATGCATGTCTCAAAGTGTCAAAAAAAAAGAAAAAAGTAGAAAGGTTTGTGGGTATTTCCAAAGACCACACAAGTAATTTTTTTTTTATAGGAACAAGACAGACATGCAGGTGAGTCTCAGAGCAATGGAACAACCTTGGCCTCAGTGGCCCTTCCTAGCTGTCTTGCTGATAGGTGGGACTTTGGATTGTCCAACAGATTTGCAATGGCACCGGCATCTGTGCTGGTCAAATTTATAGTCTTGATACAGAAATTGCACCTGACAAGCTCAAGTGCTTCATATGGTTCAAAAGCCACAGGCTGACAAATCCTGTCAGAAAGTTTCTTAACATTTTTTTTCACCTTGGAAAATTCAAATTTTTCCATACACAGCCTCACAGATCAGCAGACATAAATGGAAAACCTTCTGGAATTGAACCACAACCATACTCGGTAAAGCTAGATATATTTAATAATAAAGAATAAGAGAATATCAATAAATAAATAACAATTTATTTCTAAAGGATAAGGGAAATAATTCCTTGTTGTCCACTATAGAGATTGTACTAAATAGTAGTAAATTTTTAAAAACAGCTATTTTAGACATGGAGAGGGATGAGAATTTGACTTATGGATTTAAAATCCTACTGAGAGATGTACAAAAATGAAAAGAAAACAAGTAGTCTGTCAAAGGCAATACAGTAAGCTAAGTGTTACCTGTTTTTCAAGAAGTTTAACCACATTGTGATAATCCTTAGGACTCTGAGGTTTCTCTTCTGTAAATTCTTGGCTGTCTTTCAGTGTCCCTAAATTGGATTTTTGTTGCATATTGGACTTCTGTAATTCTAACAGTTGCTAAAAGGAGAAGGGGAGGGAAATTAAAAACTGTCATTTAATACAAAATTTACTTTAAACATAACTATGCAGAGATTGCATCAAATACTTCTCACATTTCTCATTAAGTTCAGCATTTATCAAATTTCATGTAATTATTGGTATATACATCTAACACAAATATACCTTGCAAATGTACACAGGACATAGCAACTCCAAAATGTAAGCTGCACTGGTAACGCTCTGTGTATTTGTTTTCTGACCCATCTTCCACAATTCTCTTCCTGGTGAAAACTCTGGAAAGCATTTCCAGATCATGTACTGAAAACACATGCAGCTCTACTGCCTGGGCTATAATGCAGAGGTTAGTCCCCTCCATGTCACTTATGAGAATATTGCTGTAAGGATATTTAACAGACAGCAATAATAACAATATCTACTCATCTATAAACAGGCATTCAAAGGTTGGGGTGTAAGAAAAAACTGACACACTTGCTGAAGGCATAATTAATTAATCCAAAACAATGCTATTAAAAAAATAACTGAAATTATGTTAATGAAGTAACAGTATACAAAGACACATTTATGGCTAAAACCCATTATTTTTAGAGTTTTGTAAGAAGACTTCTAAGATTACTACATCACATTTCAAATATGTGAAGTTCACTACCACCTACTGTAAGGAATTCATGCCTTCAAGTGTTGGAAAAATTTAAATAACTTACATTTTCTAACATTGAATTTCTTGAAGATAACTCCTTAAGCTCTTTCATAAACATCTCTTTCACTTTTTCTATTTCATCAGCCAATTTATCTTTTTCCTCCTCTTTCCATTTATGAAATGATTGTAGAATTTCTTCTTCTTTTGATTTTTGCTGTTCACATTCCTGAAATTATTTCAAAACCACTATTTGTTATTTTTCCCCACATGCAATACCAATTCAAGCACCCAGACTATGTGTGAGAAGCAGTCACTTTCAACGGGCAACACTGTGACATCAAAAAACACGAGAAAACACCAGTTTCTGAAGAATTCTGGGGTAGCAAACTATACATTATGCTAGCAAAACAAAATATGCTTCAAGAAGTTTTGGTAGTTCATTATTTTTCAGTGAAGAAGAACACATGAACAACCTTACTTGCTCATATCAAAGATCTGCCTGGTTCAGCATCCTGTTTCTCACAGAGGCCCATAAGCATATTGGTGGGCAAGGATAACACCAGGACAAGCAAATATGCTCATTCTCTTTAATAGCCGGGAAGCTGCCAGCTTTTTTCACTTCAGAGGACTTCCTCAGCTTGATACAGTTTTGTAAACTTAGTAACCTGCTATACATTTCTCCATATACTTTTGCAGTCGTCCCTTGTGGCTGCGCTCATTTTTAGCAACTCCAATATCTTTTGCCAATGAGCTCCACAAGCTGCACGAAGAGCCAAGTACTTTTTTTGTTTGAGTGTGGCTCCTGATAGGTTCATTTGATGGATGCTACTAGGTCCTGAACTGGAAAAGAAAGTGAATGACTGATATCTATTCATTCTACGTTACTCATGACTTTGCAGACATCAGTATCTCACTCTTCATCTCCACCAAGCTGTTGTCTCGTTTTCAGACTGACAACTCTGAGCATGCTCAGTCATTCTAAATACAGACTAATCACCCCTGTAGCCCATCTCCATAGCATTATAATTCTATCATATCCTTTTTGAGATGAAGGGGCCAGACCCACACACAGTATTTAGGCTGTGGCTGGCATTTTTTTCAGAATAATTTGTAATTTATTTTCTTTGCTGGCTGCTACTAAGCACTGGCCTGACATTTCCCTGGAACGTTGTAACACAACCTTAAGATCCTGCCCTTCAGTAATAACACCCAGTTCAGAAACCATCATTTTTAGATGAAGTTAGAATTATTTTTTCCCCACATACATTTACCCCACTGTATCTGTTAAATTGCTTTTGCCATTCCATTACCTAGTCTCTCATTTTCGTACAGTCCTCAACTCATTCAAAGTCCTGCATTTCACTGGCCAGATTATACACAGTTTTTAAGCAGCCCCTGCATCTTCCCATACACTCTGAATTTGTTCTCTAACTATGACAAGCAACCACTGTACGCTTATGAAGAATGGGATCTTCTGTTTCCTTCCACCTCAAAGGAGTAGGAGGGACCAAGAATTGGGAATATGACAGTTTTTATCCAAACTGCTTCCAGTAGTGGGTCTCCTAAAAAAAAAACCCACAGGGGAAAGATCTTCTGATCTTTCGATCAAAAGACAACAACATCATGATACCTGAATTGACAGTGGATGTCAGTCATGGCAAACAAATTGCAACCAGTCACACTTCACATTTCCATCTTCCCTGACATCCCAGAAAAACACAGAAGCTTTGAAAGCTTCTTGTTGTGTAACACAGCAGGCTGTAGCATCAGGACATTTCAGGCAGTCCCCTTGCAGCACTTAGGAGTCTCAGCTAAGACAATCGACTTCAAAACAGGCCCCTGAGGCACCAGAAAATCTACGCTGCACTGTTATGAAAACTCCAAGAAAAACAATGCTTCGGGGGCAGGAGAAATAGGTTATGGGTGTATCTCTCAAAACTGAGGCAGAGAATGAATGAGTAGAACACCTAGCAGATGTCCACATACGGCCAAGGCTCATTATTCTGACCCTGCTTGCACTCTTAGGTAAAACTGTACCCACTGTCTTCATTTGGTCACCCAGTTATTTTTGAAAATGGAATAAAACCAGGAAGCTGGATGGTCTCGGGAGAAGGGGAAGAGGATGACTGAAGAAAGGAGAGTCTGAAGCTGTGTTCAGGGAAATAAACTCTGCATGTTTTACAGAAGACTAGCTTTTCCTCTGAAAACAAAGAAGAAAATAATTAATGAGAGCGATGTTTTGTTGACACCCTTTAAATTAAAAATGTTGGGTCTCTTTCCAAACTTAGTGGTTGGTTTTATGTTTGAAGGTTCTCAAACCCCGCTAAGAAGTTCTGAATATTGGGTGATATATTAGGACAAGGTTCTCACAGGTTATGTTAACAATCAAAAACCCTGCTTTTGAATGTGATACAGGGCAAACTGCAATACCAAAAACAACATTTAAATGAATCATTAGAAGCATCTTGTCTCTTATGCCAAGAATTTGCTCCTCAGTGAATCACAAAACCCCCTCACTTTAAAAAAAATTCCATCCCTGTTTCAATAGCAAATTATCTGACTGTATTTACTTAAACAGAAATGAAAACTGAGATGATCTGAAATTATCAAGCTTTTAAAAAAACAGAAACAGGTAACTTAGAGACTCTTTTTTTCTCTTTATGAGCTAGTAAGCACTACCACAAGACTCAATATCATCCGAAATAAAGCCTTGCATATGATTACAAACAGAAAATAACTGCCTTTAAATCATTCAGTTTCAAGGTTTTTTATTCACACAGCAGTAGCTAAGATTACTTTCTGCTTTGGTTCTGTGGTCAGCCAAATTATAAGCATTTAGAGCCCACCATGCAAGGGCTTTGTTTCTTCTCAGTCTCTCTTCCTTCACTGCTTTACACCTCTGTTAGACAGTGAAGTTCTTCACAGCAAAGAATAAATCTTACTTGGCTTATAAAGTCACATATAAAATCACAGTCATATACAAGAAACATTTAATCATCATAAAGTATCATATGATTAAAACCAGCTTATATTTCACCTAGTAAGGTAATTTTATCTGCTCCAGTAGCAGGCCACACTCATCTCATGAACTGGCAAGTGCTAACATAAGTTTTGTCTTAAGTATTCATTTAAAATATGTCTGAAACAAAAGTAAGAACATAGCAGGTGTTCAAAATTATGGGGGGTAAGGGGGAGATGTGCTCTAATGCCCAAGCACGATTGCTGCCAGGCACACAAGCTGTAGATATATTTCTGTTCTGCTACAGTTACAAAATGAGTGAACACAGTCCAAAGTACTAATTCATGTAAGAGGTTCATATTGTTTAGCACACATTACCTTAGAAAACCTGGCCATGTTAGCCTGTTGTTCAGCCTCTAACTGGGACTTGGTGAGCTGCAACTGCTCCTTCAGTTTATCAATCTCATCCTGCAATTTGTCTGTCTTTGCTTTCCTCTTCTGTTCTGTTTGAAAGACACAATTTTTTAAATGTCTGTTTTAATTTCTGGAAATGTCATACTTGCTGCAAATGTGTTTCTATAGCATTTCAATTACATCTTCATGAAGTGTGACCCTCATAGACCATTTCCCCTCCCACCACCATGATTCTCCAAAGATGCTTTTAAATACGTGTGCTCTCTGGACTGCTAATGTTATCCTTAAAGACTGAAAAATGCCGGTATTACTGACTTGTGAAATAGTTTATGAAATATTTACAAGAAAAAGTATTACATAATCTAATTTCAAAGGAATCTAAGCAACACAGGCTCAAAAAAGGACATATGAACGACAAAGTGAACCTCAATTATTCAATTCTGTTAGCTATAATTTATTCTAAATAATTTTCCTAAGGAGTCCATTTGGAATATAACTCATTATTTATCAGGAATGAGTCAGGGGAAATGTCACTGTAAAAAAAAACATATTAAAATGTGCAAGAATTGTAACAATCTTCAATCTTGAAACATTTTCTCAATTTACCGAGAATTTGCTAGTCCATCATCTGGGAATCTGAGCACAATGCAGAATACTATTTCAGAAATATCTATATGGAGTATTTCCCTCACAGCCATTCCAGACTAATTCTTTATATGATAATTAGTTCAACTAGTTCTGCAATATCTTCTACTACCATTTTTATCAAGTGTAAAGTGCACAAGAGCTTCTTGCTTCTTTCTTCCAATATTTTAACATTTTCTTAGACCCCTCTCACTGTTCTTGCTGTTTGATTTGCCAGACAAGCTACAGTTCAGACCTCGCTAGATTCTTCCCACTCTTTCTCCTCCTAAATGCTCTTCTTCCCTGACTCAGTCCTAGTCACTGTGATTTGCCAGTATTTGTTACTTCCTAGCAATAAATCACAAGCAAGCAGCCTAACAGAAAGGACAAAATTTAGAGATGAATGAAACAAACTTTGAAAGCAATGTTTTTCAAACTAAACATTTTTCAATGAAGAGAGACGAAAGTATTTAAGTTAGTGGTATAGCAACCAAGATTGTCATAGATAAATGAAGTTAGATTATTCTTGACAATTTCTTTTTCTCACTATATTTTTTTAGAGTCAGTTTAGTTCAGGAGAGCCTGATCCCATTCGAACTGATTTCAGGTCAACTGGACTATTTCTTAACTGGTAATTCATATATATTCACAAAACGTATTTTCCTTAGCCCAACTTGTTCATTTTACCCACACCTTCACAACACACGTGCCTAAAGAGATACTGTACTCTGAACTCTGCTGCTGAATAAAGTACTCAGCTGCAATGCTAGTTTGAAAATGTATTGTAAATACATTTTTTTGAAATTATTTTTGCAGAGACTGAAACATATGTCACCCAATACATTTTGTCAGTCAGTGTTGCTTGCATTCACACAAGTTGGTATCTGCCACCTAAAAATGGAGAGTGAAAATCAATCTTCCCAGTTACACAAAATCATGGGCTGCATATCCTCACTATATTTACACTTTTCTAAACTATTTATCAAAATATTTTGATAACATCAAAGTACATACCGATCTGAGATTCTTCCGGATGACGCCTCTGCATGTGACTTTGTAAAAAGGAATAGTTCATAAAAGCCTTTTCACAAAACTGACACTAGAAAAAACAGATAAAAACATTTTAGTTATTATTAGTAACATCTGTTTGGTGAGCACAACGACCAAGGCTTTTAACAGGTTATTACACTTTGTCCAGATGTCAAAAGTGGGTAAAATTCCATTTCACAGGAAGAATGACTACAATTCTCAGTGCTAGATTTCTGTGAAGTTATTAAGATATTTGTGTTGTTTAATGATGTTCATGGGAAAGAATCCCATTGTGCTAGGTGCTGTACAAACTTTGAACAAAAAAGGCTCTGAACAAGTAAGCTTAAATTCAGATATAAACCACAGACAAGAGATGAATATAGATAGAGAAGTAAAAGGAAAAAGTAAGACAAAACTATTCAGCAAAAGACACACTGACTCCAGCCAACTAGCAGCTCAGATATTTTAAGACTGCTGTATCACAGCAAGAGAGAGCAACATACAGTCAGAAAAAAACCCAATAAAGATGGCTTTGACCATACATAATTGAGTTACAAGATAACAATACTAGAAGGACCACAGATATGTAAAAAGGTCAGACATTTCAACCAAAATAAGGTAACAATACACAATTTTGCAAGAAAAGGCACATATATCTATATATTAGTATGCTACTTATAGAAT